TGTGTGTGTGTGTGTGTGTGTGTGTGTGTGTGTGTGTGTGTGTGTGTGTGTGTATGCTCCATTTGTTGTTTTGTGTTGTTGGGGTTTTTTTTCTCTTACCATAGCAGCATGTATATTGTGGTAATGACCAGCACCAACATACAGTTACTGATTCAATGACACAACCATGCCTATAGTACAATGTTCAAGACTTTCTGAGCACCCAGAGCTGCATTCCACTGTCTCCTGGTTGCATGACAACAACCACCACAATATCCCACAGGGAAAGTGAAGAATTGATGAATAAAACGATAAATATTTGTGATCAAACAGGATACTAGAGAGCAGGATAGATTGAATAGAATATCTCAACTACTAATTAAAGCTAATTTTGAAGGACTCGCAGTGGCCTTTTGTTGTAAAAGTCATGGCTATAAAGTGATAGATGATTTTCTGATATTTTTCTTTTATTAAAAGTAAAGAAATACTACCATGCGACACAATGTCATAGGATATGACCTGGACCTACTGAACTATCAGCACTATATTGCAAAATGTGTCACTGACCATGGAAGACAATTCAGTGATTCAGGAAGTAATTATTTTTTTTCAGGACAGAGAGCACATTTTCAAGAGATCTGCCCTTGCTTTGATTTAATGCAGACTTTAAACCACTGTTTTCCCTTTGATCAATGTCACTTAATAACAATAATAATATACTGACTTACAGGCTCAAGAGGAGCTATCGGCTTTTGTCTAGAGGAAATTCAAGAATTTTGAAATAAAACACAGTGCTTCACTCACACAGATGATCGACTCAAAAGACTACTCCTTTATCGATTCTCAATACTCAGATCTCTCAATACTCAAGTGATTCTGATAGCTGATATCAAGGTTTAAAAAAAAAAACAAGACTAAAGGACAAAGTAGTAACTATGGTGGTATTCTGTGGAGCTCATTTTTTTTAATGTTAGTTATCATCAGCTATATCTTCTCAAAGTCCACAATATGCATGTCTCTCATCTATTTCACTCTTTACATGAAACAAAACACTGTAAGAAATACCCAAAATTAAGGCACAGCCCAGTATTAATTTGTTACTTTCACGAATCTCTGAAAACCTCTTCCACAGGAAGTGTCCTAAGAGTGGCCATTTTGGCAATGCATACACAAGGAAACAGGAAGAATGTCAACACCCAGACTACAGAGAGGATAAGTAAGAAGTACGTAAAAGCTAGCAAGCTCACTCACTGCGGGTTAAATATAAATATGAAACTTTAATATAAAACTAAGACTTATAGTAGTTTTTAGAGTTAAAAACCCAATTGTCCCACCTGACTTTCAAGTAATATTTGATAAGTGCCTCCAAATGAAAAACTTAGCCTTTGTTATCTATGTGCTATACTTACCAGCCCTAAATAAGCATTACCCACCAACTGATTCATGATCTTCTAAAAATCACTTCTAGAAAACTACATAGCTAACATTTTGAAAAGTGTTACAGAAAAGAGGTTTTACTGCCACATATACTTTCCATTATAATATAATAAAAATTCCCTAAGAATCTGGAGTTTTTTTGTGCTTAACAAGAAGGCAGCAAATTTGAAAAGGCAAAATAAAGCCATGAGAAAATATAGTAGATGCAGAATTAGATGAATATAATATTTCACTCTAAACATGACTCTCAGGCAAACTTCATAATATATAATATATATTTTTGTGGACAGGTCTAAATCTTAACTTGATATGGACTTTGGTTTCTATATTCTTTCTGAAGGAAATCAAAGCAACTGAAAGCAGCTGAGCGCATCATCAGTGTTTGAGCACAACAGTTTTTTCTTACCCTTCAAAAGAGAAGAAAGTAACACAGGACAATGTCTTTACGTTCTCACCAAAACTGAGCATAAAAACCCCAACCTGTCAAGAGTATTTATTACCACTTAGTTTTCATCTAGCCCAAAATTCATCTTAAGAGTTTTCAGGTATATGAGATATTCAACTTAATAACCCCAAATACGATTTATCAGTTTAGCTACTCTGGGTAACCTTCGTTTTGTGTATCTATTGATATGGGATAACAGCAATTCAACATCATCAGTACATAGCAAGCATGAATCCTCTCTATGATTAATTTAAACAAATTTAATTATATTTGTTCATAAATGTTTAGACTTCCTGTTCACTTTGTCATATTTTTATGCAATAATTTATCTTTCAAAACTACCTAAGGGAAAGCATTTTCCACTGGGCTTAAATGGAACTCCTCTCTTTAAATCAGTATAGAAATAATGCCGTTCAATTATCTATAAAGTAAGTATCAAATAACTTGAGCTATTTAAAAATAATTGTTTTAAAAGACTATTTAATGAGCAAACATCACAATGTATTATAAATTCGCAAAGAATCTCCCAAATACATAGAATCTGAGGGTCAAAGAACAAAACCAACAACAAAGAAAATAACCATCAAGGACCTGCTAAGGTGATTTTTGCAAATGACCAGTGATTTGAAGACACATTTTAAAAATCACTATTGCTACTTAACTTTTAAAATTAAAATGCTGGAAAGCAGTGTCATAAATGCTCAACCACACATGAAAATTTTCGCTTCCAAACATAGAGTGTTTTAAAGTATTATATATATATATATATATATATATATAAAAACTTTAACTGTTTCTTTATTTTATTTATTTTGGTCAGTCATGGGGCTTGAACTCTGGACCTGGACGCTGTCCGTCTGCTCTTCAGCTCAAGGTGAATGCTCTACTACTTGAGCCACAGAACCACTTCCGGTTTTCTGGTGGGTTACTGGAGATAAGAGTCTCACAGACTTTTCTGCCAGAGCTGGCTTTGAACTTCGATCCTCAGATCTCAGCCTCCTGAATAGCTAGGATTACAGGTGTGAGCCACCAGTACCCGGCTATTTCTTTATTTTTTTAAACATGAGATTGGATACAGTTCCTTAATTAGCAGCCAGACTCACCAAATTCAGAAATTTGTCAATATCTACATCAATATCTACAAGCTCAGTCAGTAAATCTACATTTAATCTATAAACATGTGATTAACATCTCTACATTTGAAAGGTTTTTACCTAATGATGACTAATTTCCCCCTAGTGTGTCCATCCTATGATTCTAGAACACACAATTCTAAAATAATCTAACCCAGCCAAAGTAGCCCCAGAAATGGCATAAACAATGATAATCAGGGAACCACAGTCTTCATAGCTGCAACTTTTAGTTGACTTTGAAATTACACATGGAAAAATGAATCAAAGATCATCCAGAAATGATTAAGCTACAATTATTCAATTCACAAAATTAACAAAACACAAATTAAGTCACATGGAGAAATGGAAAAAGTATAAGGAACAAGAATTAAAATATACAATATATAAAGAATTCTAAGGAATTTCTTTGTTCAAAAGTAGTCATTTATAATTTATACAATTTATTACTATTATTAATATAACAGAATAATAACAGAAAATATATGACAAGTCATTTTGAAACAAGAAATATAATCGAGAAAGAAAAGTCACTACTTAGTCTGAAATTGCAAGCCAAAGCAACAGCACAGTCAAAATGTTTTACTTTGGTGCAATTTTTATGAAAAATGGAAAGCAATATGAAAATGGAGACAATAGATAATAAAAATATTCATACATTTAACAACACCTCATAGGGAAAAATATCAAATATTCAAAAGTACAAAATTTGTAGAATATTGTAAACATTAGGTTACATCAAAATTGAGCAGCCATTAAAATTAAAATATGGAAATTGGCAAAATGGAAATGTTTGTAATAAGATTTTGAGTGGGACAAGAATGATATAAATAATATGAGGTTATAATTCATTATGATTATTCAAATATATGCAAGTGAAT